TTTTTCAGGACAAAAAGGGCTTTCTTTATATACCATTATTTATATAATCTCATATAATTTAATTTAAAAAATTTTTTTAAAAAAAAAGATGACAAATTTTAAAAAATACATGTTCTTTTACTTTTACTTGAAAAATATTTTACTCGTCTACAAAAGCTAATCAAGAAAACTGCTAAATAGATTCAAAACTTTGTCCTGAGTTTAAAAATACCCAGTGTTTACATAAGTACAAGTAGGATATTGCGGTTTCAAAACATACATTTTTAAAATGTATCAATAGTGACATTGTAACACTATTATCTGTCCTAAATCTCTGAATCACATCCCACATGTACATATTTTTTTTAAAGTATACAACCCAGGGTGTTTAATATGGGGTATGTCCAGTTTTTTTTTTTTTTATTAGCCAGTTAGTCACAAACACTGGCGAAAGTTAGTGTTAATATTTGTTTGTGTGTGTAAAATGCAAAAAAAATCATTTGAACGCCAATTGTGGCCAGCGTTTGTGACTAAGTGGCTACTAAAAAAGACTGGACATACCCCATTTGCAATACCTTGGGTTGTCTACTATTGCAAATGGTATGCCATCATGGGGGTAATTTTCATTCCTGGGCTACAATACGGTCTCAAAGGCAAGGTAACCAATCTGGCGAATTTCAATGTGAAAAAACAGAAACGCAAGCCTCATATTTGGCTCTGTAACTTTTGAAAACACCATAAAACCTGTACATGAGGGGTACTGTAATACTCAGGAGATTTTTGCTGAATACAAATATTAGTGTTTCAAAACAGTAAAATGTATAACAACAAGTATATCGTCCATGTAAGTACCATTTGTGTGTGAAAAATGCCACAAATGTCACTTTCACTGACGATATCATCGTTGTTATATATTTTACTGTTTTGCAACACTAATATTTGTGTTCAGCGAAGTCTTCTGAGTAAAACAGTACCCCCCCCATGTACAGATTTTATGGTGTCTTGGAAAGTTACAGAGTTAAATATAGTGCCAGCAAATTAAATTCCCTGGACTTTCGGCCTGGGTTGTCAGGCAGGTCCCACAAATTGTAATTAATAAAATTACCTAATTATGTAAAATATATATATAAAAAAATTATGTGCATATATATATATATATATATATATATATATATATCACACACATATATATATATATATATATATATATATATATGTGTGTGTGTGTGTGATATATATATATATATGCACATAATTTTTTTAATTATTTATATATATATATATATATATATATATATATATTGATATATGTATATATTTATGTATATAGATATATTATTTTGTTCTATGTATTTTGATATCAATATATATATTAATTTTAAAATACAGTTAGAATGAAATTACGCATATATATTTTATTTATTTTGTTTTATTTTTTACATATTTATTTTATAATATATATATATATATATATATATATATATATACACACACACATATATTGATAATTATATATATTTATTCAATTTCATTCTACATGTACTTTGATATTAATATATATGTAATTATATATTAATATTAAAATACACTTAGTGTATATATATATATATATACACACACACACACACACACACACACCTTTGTCCCTCCTCTTACCCCCTCAAGCATTGGCTGCGACCATGTGCCGTAATGACAGAGGTCCATCCAGCTGTATCTCGCAAGCAGACCTCTGGATTTCCTTCTGCCTCAGATTTTCTCAAGCTTTGAGCTCTGAGGTTCAGACTGCCAGGTGTTTCACGTGGTCTCAGCATCCCGGGCTTAACCATTAATCAGGGTGTTCCCAGCTCTCACCAGTGTGGCATGCAGCTCACATAAAGCTCCTCTCCATCTGTTTTGACAGAAGGAAGGACAAGGACTCTTCCAGAATTTTTCCCTGGAACACAGAGAACAGCAGCTCCCTAACTTATTCCTAAGAGATTCTATGTGCAAGTGTCATAGTCCCTTGTTGCCATTTTTGTTAGGAGCTAAGATGGGCAACTGTAATACAATCTCACTACCTTTCTGTGCAGGCTAGCTGGTATACTTTTCTGTATAACATATTAAATGCTGGGCAAAATGTATTCACATGGACTCACTGCATTTAATGTGAGGTAGGTAAAGTTTTGTAATAACTTGAAACACACTACATGTAAAGATTTGGCTATTAAGCTGTGGGGATATTTATGGGTTGATAATATTAAACAGTTGAGAATTGCCCACTTCTCTTAGATCTTAGAGATCGTTTATCATGTAAGTGAAATGTATTCCATACAAATAAAATCACACTTTGTTATAAAAATAGATTTAATTTATTGTGACAAATAAAATAACAATAATATTAGGCAGCATGCATGATAATAATCAGTGAATATTTAGTATAACATAAGTATGCAATACAATGTAATGAAATAAAAACAGGTGAGTGAGCGCTAAATAACACAAGTGGGCAGCAACCCTAAAAAGGGAATCCCTCAAAAACCCTTTAGGATAAAACACAAAAAATACAGAAAAAGGGCTGCGCTTAAATAATAAATATATAAAAGTCCAGATGAAATAAATAAATAAAAAAATAGATAAATAAAGCAGAAGAGGTCTTATCTTGCAATGTCCGTAGTGCTTAGTCAGAGATAATAATCTTGCTTTCTGTCTTTCTTGTGGATCATCTCTTATGTAAGATATAAAAATAAATACAAAACCACAATGGTGCAGTATATCTATATGTGTAAGGAATAAAATATAAAGGCTTGATTGCGAACTCACATATCCAAGAGCTAGGACCTGCTCTGGTATACAAGGCGTACAGCGGTTTAGATCCCCGCTTATGGGATATAGGATGGTTTTCCTCCACGTGTTTCCTCCTTCCGTGGTGTAAGAGATGCTCAAATAAAAAGAGACAGCCAATAGTGTTCTCTGCGTAAAATTAAAATCCAATATAAAATAAAATAAAAAATGGATACTCACAAGACAGGAGCAGGTCAACTGCTCCTGGTATTTCGCACTGGTGGAATAATCCCCACCTAGGATTGCTTGGAGTCCAGCGAATGATGCCAGGTAATAATAATAATTATATGTGTATTAAAAGATAAGTAGTACAATAAAAGATTATAAAATATACTTTAATTGTAACATTACACAATATAAAAAACCATAAACGCGTTTCGCCAATCGGCGTTATCAATATGGGTAAAGGACCTGATACCTGGCAGAAGATCATTTAAATAGCATACTCAATTAACTCAAAAATTGGCGCCAAAATTTGGACAGCCAATCAGATTGCAATAAAAAATTACATACAATATAGCAATAATAAAACATAAACAATAATATGCATAGAGATAAAACTAAAAAAGACATTATAAATTATGTAATTTAACTTTAAAAACGATCAATGGTTATTGAAAGAAAACTCTGAGATGCACGGTCACATGACCGGCATCGCAACCGCAAGGGGTTATGGGGTGTGTAGTTAGACGCCGGCCGGCACTGCGCAGCCGCCGGCATCATGAGGGGGAACTGGTAGCTGGCGTCTGTTCACATAACGGATGCGTCCAGACGCCAGTAGGCGGAACGAGGGGCGGGTGTACTGATGACGGCGGCACGCACAAGACAGTGGCCGCCGTCATCAGGAAGAAGGTAGACGACGGCTCACACAACGCTGTGGCCGTCGTCATGGAGATGAGGCATAACAAGATCGGCAGACTAAGGCCGAATGGAGGAGGGGGGAAAAGGAACAAATAGCATTAAAAAACGTATATAAGTAAAATACAATAAAATAAAATAAATGGAGCTAATTATTAAAAGAAAAAATGAAATAAAATAAAAACAGGATTATGTGAGAAACAGGCAGGTAAAAAACAACATCCTACCTGCTCTGCTGAATAATAAGAGTAGGCATGGTGAGAGAACAGGACAATAAAATACAATAATAGATAATATAAAACCATATGATTATAAAAAATATGATTATAAAAAATTGGATTATAAAAAATTAAATAAATCAAAATCAACATTCAGACCATAAGGTGCAAGAGTTTGGAGTGTATAAACCCACTCCATCTCTTTTTTACCTAGAATATTTTTAATATTTCCACCCCTCCATGGAACCATACATTTCCCTATAGCAATGCATTTAAGCATTTTAGGATCTTTATTATGTATAATAAAATGTTTGGATACTGAGTGATTTAAGTATCCATTCTTGATATTTCTGCAGTGTTCGCTCAGACGTATTTTTAGACACCTTGTGGTCATTCCAACATATTGGAGGCCGCAAGGGCATTCAAGCAGATATATTACATTTTTCGTGGAGCAATTAATAAAATCATTTATTTTGTAAACCTTGTTTGTCCTTTTTGATGTAAATTCCGTTACTTTGGATGGAACATCAGGATTGGTGGATTTACACACAATGCACATTTTACACTTGCAGAAACCTTTTATTTGTGGAAAAAAGGATATAGGGGGATTTTTTTTAAGATTTTTTTCTCTTGTAAAATTGTTGGTCAGAATAGATTTAAAATTTTGGGCACCCCTAAATATAATATTAGGGCGTTCAGGTATAATTTTGTTTAGTATTTCATCTTGTTTAAGAAGGTGCCAATGTTTTTTAATGATTTTTTTGACATAATTACTTTTATTATTAAAGTTAAAAATAATTGGTAAGGGCATTTCTGTGTCCGTAGTTTTGGGTTTGTATTTTAGGAGTTCATTCCTATCTTTCCCTTGGATCTCCTTAATTGTAGTTTCTAATTCTGATTTTGAATAGTTTTTTTCGACAAATTTATCTTTTAAAAGTTTCGCTTGTATCTCAAAGTCTATAAGTTCTGAACAATTTCTTCTCAATCTAAGGATTTGACTTTTAGGGGCGCTGTCTAACCATGGTTGGTAATGACAGCTATTTTTGTCAATAGCAGTATTAACACAAACCTTTTTAAAGAAAGTTTTTGTATGTACCATACCATTTTTTATAAAAATATCAAGGTCTAAAAAATTGATTTGTTCTCTACTGTATTCGCAGGTGAGTATTATACCTCTATTATTCAGGTTGAGGTTAGTGATAAAAGAATTTAGAGCTTCTTCGGTACCATTCCAAATAAAAAACAGATCGTCAATATATCTGAAGAAGGAAACCAGGTTTGCTCTCCACGCATGGTTACCAAAAATGGCTTGTGACTCCCAGTCGGCCATAAACAAATTTGCATAGCTGGGAGCAAACCTGGTCCCCATGGCAGTACCTCTTTTTTGCAGATAAAAGGAGTCTAAAAACCAAAAATAGTTATTGTTTAATCAATAAAAGCTTCAAAAGGTTTAAAAGTATTAGTAGGGGCAAACTTAAGACCTTTAGTTAAAACCGCTAGGTGTGTACTGTTTAAAATCTTTTGTGACAGATTAAAAATGCCTCCGTTAGTTACATTAAGAGAAGGTGCTATCTTTCTAGTCTTTCTCTTTTGTTCGCGTCTACCACTTCTTCATACCTCATGATATAGGCTGTCAAGCTGTAAAAGATATTTTAACCAAAGAAGGAAAAATTGCCAACCAACAAATAGAGTTCATTTTAGAAGGTATCAATATTATTTTAAACAATAACTATTTTTAGTTTTTAGACTCCTTTTATCTGCAAAAAAGAGGTACTGCCATGGGGACCAGGTTTGCTCCCAGCTATGCAAATTTGTTTATGGCCGACTGGGAGTCACAAGCCATTTTTGGTAACCATGCGTGGAGAACAAACCTGGTTTCCTTCTTCAGATATATTGACGATCTGTTTTTTATTTGGAATGGTACCGAAGAAGCTCTAAATTCTTTTATCACTAACCTCAACCTGAATAATAGAGGTATAATACTCACCTGCGAATACAGTAGAGAACAAATCAATTTTTTAGACCTCGATATTTTTATAAAAAATGGTATGGTACATACAAAAACTTTCTTTAAAAAGGTTTGTGTTAATACTGCTATTGACAAAAATAGCTGTCATTACCAACCATGGTTAGACAGCGCCCCTAAAAGCCAAATTCTTAGACTGAGAAGAAACTGTTCAGAACTTAAAGACTTTGAGATACAAGCGAATCTTTTAAAAGATAAATTTGTTGAAAAAAACTATCCAAAATCAGAATTAGAAACTACAATTAAGGAGATCCAAGGGAAAGATAGGAATGAACTCCTAAAATACAGACCCAAAACTACTGACACAGAAATGCCCTTACCAATTATTTTTAATTTTAATAATAAAAGTAATTATGTCAAAAAAATCATTAAAAAACATTGGCACCTTCTTAAACAAGACGAAATACTAAACAAAATTATACCTGAACGCCCCAATATTATATTTAGGGGTGCCCAAAATTTTAAATCTATTCTGACCAACAATTTTACAAGAGAAAAAAATCATAAAAAAAATCCCCCTATATCCTTTTTTCCACAAATAAAAGGTTTCTGTAAGTGTAAAATGTGCATTGTGTGTAAATCCACCAATCCTGATGTCCCATCCAAAGTAACGGAATTTACATCAAAAAGGACAAACAAGGTTTACAAAATAAATGATTTTATTAACTGCTCCACGAAAAATGTAATATATCTGCTTGAATGCCCTTGCGGCCTCCAATATGTTGGAATGACCACAAGGTGTCTAAAAATACGTCTGAGCGAACACTGCAGAAATATTAAGAATGGATACTTAAATCACTCAGTATCCAAACATTTTATTATACATAATAAAGATCCTAAAATGCTTAAATGCATTGCTATAGGTAAATATATGGTCCCATGGAGGGGTGGAAATATTAAAAATATTCTAGGCAAAAAAGAGATGGAGTGGGTTTATACACTCCAAACCCTTGCACCTTATGGTCTGAATGCTGATTTTGATTTATTTAATTTTTTATAATCCATTTTTTATAATCATTCTTTTTATAACCATATGTTTTTATATTATTTCACTATGCCCACCCTTATTATCCAGTAGAGCAGATATGATGCTGCCCTTTACCTGCCTGCTTCTCTTCCCATCATGTTTTTATTTTATATTTATATTTATTTTTATTTTTATTCCATATTTCCTTTTATTTGTCAGCTCCATTTATTTTATTTTATTTTATTCCACTTATATATGATTTCAATATTATTTGTTTCTTTTCTTTTCCCCCTTCTTTCCATTCAGCCTTATATAGCTATGTAGCATCTCCATGACGACGGCCACAGCGTTGTGTGAGCCGTCGTCTATTTTCTTTCTGATGACGGCGGCCACTGTCTTGTGCGTGCCGCCGTCACCAGTACATCCGCCCCTCGCTCCTCCTACTGGCGTCTGGACGCATCTGTTATGCGAACAGACGCCAGCCACCAGTTCCCTCTCATGATGCCGGCGGCTGCGCAGTGCCGGCCGGCGTCAAACTACATACCCCATAACCCCTTGCGGCTGTGATGCCGGTCACGTGACCGCGCACTTTAGAATCTTTTTTCTTCTTTTAAATAACCACTGATCGTTTTTAAAGTCTAATTATATAACTTATAATGTCTATTTTAGCTTTACCTTAATACATACTATTGTTTATGTTTTACTAGTGTTATACTGTATGTAATTTGTTACTGCAATCTGATTGGCTGTCCAAATTTTGGCGCCAATTTTCGAGTCAATTGAGTATGCTATTTAAATGTTCTTCTGCCAGGTATCAGGTCCTTTACCCATATTGATAACGCCGATTGGCGAAACGCGTTTATGGTTTTTTATATTGTGTAATGTTACAATTAAAGTATATTTTATAATCTTTTATTGTATTACTTATCTTTTAATACACATATAATTATTATTACTACCTGGCATCATTCGCTGGACTCCAAGCAATCCTAGGTGGGGATTATTCCACCAGTGCGAAATATCAGGAGCAGTTGACCTGCTCCTGTCTTGTGAGTATCCATTTTTTTATTCTATTTCATATTGGAGTTTAATTTTACGCAGAGAACACTATTGGCTGTCTCTTTTTATTTGAGCATCTTTTAAACCACGGAAGGAGGAAACACGTGGAGGATAACCATCCTATATCCCATAAGCGGGGATCTAAACCGCTGTACGCCTTTTATACCAGAGCAGGTCCTAGCTCTTGGATATGTGAGTTTGCAATCAAGCCTTTATATTTTATTCCTTACCCATATAGATATACTGCACCATTGTGGTTTTGTATTTGTTTTTATATCTTACATAAGAGACGATCCACAAGAAAGACAGAAAGCAAGACAGAAAACAAGATTATTACCTTTGACTAAGCACTACGGACACTGCAAGATAAGACCTCTTCTACTTTATTTATTCATTTATCTATTTATTTATTTATTTCATCTGGACTTTTATATATTTATTTTTTAAGCGCAGCCCTTACTCTATATTTTTTACTGCTCAATTCACTGCCATTTTGACGTTAAATCACTTTTTCTGTTTATGCAGCCCTTGCCACACCTCCCCTGACTCTGATTGACACAGCCTGCATGAAAAAAAACAAAACTGGTTTCCCTTTCAATCAGATCTAATTTACCTTAAACAATTGTATCTCTTGCTCTGTAAATTTAACTTTAATCACATAGAGGAGGCTCTTGCAATCTCCAGCAAGCTATTAAAAGGACACTCCAGTGCCAGGAAAACAAACTGTTCCGCCGGTGGGGGAGACCTAATGCGCATGTGCGGCAATGTCGCGTGCGCGCATTAGACCTCTCCATAGGAAAGCATTGAAAATGCTTTCAATGCTTTCCTATGGGGAATTGAGCGACGCTGCAGGTCCTCACACAGCGTGAGGATGTCCAGCGACTCTCTAGCACAGAAAACCTGTGCTAGAAACCAGGAAGTACCCTCTAGTGGCTGTCTAGTAGACAGCCACTAGAGGAGGCGTTAACCCTGCAATGTAATTATTGCAGTTTATGAAAACTGCAATATTTAAAGCTGCAGGGTTAAGAGTAGTGGGAGTTGGCACCCAGGCCACTCCAATAGGCAGAAATGGTCTGGGTGCATGGAGTGTCCTTTAACATAGCAGGGGATAAGAAAATCTAAATTAAACAGAACTTGCAATAAAAGAAGCATAAACTTTAGATGACTCTTTACAGGAAGTGTTTAGGAAAGCTGTGCAAGTCACATGCAGGGAGGTGTGACTAGTGTTCATAAACAAAGTGATTTAACTCCTAAATGGTAGAGAATTGAGCAGTGAAACTGCAGGGACATGATCTATACACCAAAACTGTTTCATTAAGCTAAAGTGTTCCTTTAAGGGCTGGCTAACGGTAATTTCGTGCATATTTCATGTATGAATGGCAGGATTTACATCTAACTTCTGTTACTCTGCTGCAACCAGATCCTTTTCAGCAAGTATGAAAGGAGGCTTGGTCCCCAACAGCACCTGGTCTTCAATTGCAACACTAGCTTGGTGTACCATTAATTCAGTTTCAGTATAATAAATACAAATAGAAAATGTTGTTACACTGGAAAAATCTTGTTGACAGCAGTTGCTGGAAGCCTGGATAGGCTCATTGGAAAAGTCTGGGTGTAGTGTCTCAGGTTCCTTAACCATGCAAAGGTAATTATTGCAGTTTTTAATAAACTACAATAATAATAAACTTACCTTTGAGGGTCAACTCCACCTCTAGTGGTTGTCTACCAGACAGCCACTAGAGGAACTTCCGGGTTGTGTTGCCTAACTGGCGCTGCATGTCCTCACGCTATACATGAGGACTTAAAGTGCCATGTAAAATACTTTAGGAAAGCATTAAACAGGCTTTTCTTTAGGGGAAGTTCTAATGTGAACACTGCCATTGCCCTGCATGCGCTTTAGGACAACGGCGCTGGAATCAGGTAAGGTTTTAAAAAAATTTAAAAAAAGGCTGCACCACGAGCGGCTCGACGGAGGGTGGCACTATAGGGAAAAATAGTGCCAGAAAAATAACTTAATTTGCCTGGCACTATAGTTTCACTTTAAGACACAGTGAGTGGCTGCATTTATGAATAGAGATGTATTTACTGACTTTTATTGATTGAACTTCATTTCTGTTCTTTATTTATGAAACTGCTGTTGAATGCTATTTAGTTTATTATTAAAGTGAGCCAATATTGGCATTTTTTCTTACATTTTTAACAGTTTCTGTAACAAATATTTTTACATTATGCTTCATTAAATTATCACATGCAAGTTAAGTAATAAGCAAATTCTAATCGTTTAACTAAAACGAGAGATTCTTAAAAAATTTTGTACTGTACAATATATTTGTTTGCTCGTCTAGGTGGACCTCCTGAGAATGAGTCGCATTCTGCAAGTAAGGAAGCAGTAAAGAAAAAGTCAAGAAAGGAGAAACAAAGGTTCACAAGTCCGGTTCTCTGTGAAAATAATTACCCCAGTGACTCCTGCACCAGTGTGGAAGCCGTTGAAAACTTATCACCAAAATTATCATTAAGAAAACGAAAAGTTTCTGATAACAATGTCCAAAATAATGAGGCACATGCAGTGCCCAAAAAGAGGCCAAAATCCATACTTAAAGCCAATTCCAAAATAAAAGAATCAAAAGATATTCAAGAAAACCATAGTGAAATAGAAGATGTTCTCAGTGTCGGTGAGGAGTGTATAATTAACAGAAAGAAAAGATCTCATGTGTCAACATTACACAGATCAGTTATGACTGGAGAGCAAAACCAATCTGTTAAAAATATTAGGAAGTCATTGGCTGCATTTGGGGTTGCATATGGGAAAAGTCCACCTGCAAATAAGACTGTACAAAATGCACTTAATGAGAGTGACACAGAGTCTGCAAAGTGTCCACGTGAAGCCTTTCTTAACACTCCAACAAAAAATAGAAATTTGGTATCCTCCTTTAGAACCCCTGTGTCACATTCTGAACATATGTTGGACGACTCTCTTCACAAGTCTATATGTCAAGAATCCTTGTGTAATGAAAACCAGGATTCTCAAACAGAGAACAGTTCCACTGCAAAGTAAGTAGTTTAGGTGTATGATTGCCAGTTTTCACATTTGTTTTTACCTGCCATAGTTTTTAGTTATTAATTTATTTCCTATCCAATAATAATTGATGACAGTGTCTATGTTTGTGTTGGTTGTTCCACAAGTGATAGCATAAATGCATATATTTCAGTAGAAATTGTTAATTAGTTTTGGAACATAACTGTTAAGTGATTTTTTTGATCATGTGTATTTATACTGAAATCGATTTTATTCATCTTAGTGAGAGCCCTGCCATTAAACGATCTGTAGAATCCAAAAGTTCAAAGAAGAAGCAGATTAGTCCAGACCACTCAGACGATCCAGGTAACTTAAATTGAATGCATCTTACAGAGGCAATGTCGGACCATAACCAACTCATTGAGAGAAAGGAAGTCCACCAACATGGGTTCCAAAACTAATATCTGTATTATCAATGAAAAACACGACTGTCTTTTTTTATTTTATTTTATTTTTTTACCTGCAAATAGTTTGTCATTACTTGCTTTGTGGTATTTCTTTCCAGCTCACCATTGTATCTTAAAGGGACACCGTAGGCACTGTATATGCTTCATCTCATTAAACTGGTTATAGTGTCTGAAGTCCTCTGGTCCCATCATTTCTATCAGCATTAAACAGTTTTTAAAGTTTTAATGTTTTAATGCTAAACAAGAGTCCCCGGCAATCCATCCCCTCTGTGCTGCTTTGGCTTATAAGGAAGTATTAGCCTGAGCAGCTGTGATTGGCTGAGAGTGTCAGCTGAATGCTTTTAGCCTGTCAGAGTTCCAACTGATGGTATGAAAGGGTATGACAAGTGTGTAATCTCTGCCTTAGCCACACATACTGAAGGGGCCGGACTGTGGGTGGCCAGGGACTCTTATTTTGTGGCATACTGCACGAACATGGTGCAACACTGAATGGAGGGACAATGCCAGGGCACTCCAGGCACTATAACCAATTCAAAGAGATGAAATGCTTATAGTGACTACAGGGTCCCTTTAATGAAATAATGCAATAAAAGTATGTACTTGGCCACAGCACTCTGCTAGCAAGCCTTTTCTCCCCATTGCACATGTGCATTAAGTGCCACTCAGATGTTTCTTTGTAGGGAAACATTGCCTTCTGCTTTGAATGAGTGTTCAGTGCGCTGTAGAGAATGTTACAAAATTGCTGATTTTTGTTGAAACCAATACTTTCGTAAAATCAGTTGGAGGTAACTTTTAGTTAATCTGAAACGATTTAGAGGAATGTTTCTTCAAACGATTTGGTCATATCTATTGCGTTAATGTAGCTGTGTCTGTATAACTTAAAATCAGCGCCCAAAATTTACCCAT